CCCCCCCCCCCCGCTGGTTGCTCTCCAAACGAATGCAACTGCAAAAACCACCAGGTTCAGACGGAGCGGGAGAAGGTCACCTACGAGAAGGAGTCGGCGGAAGAGAACAGGGTCTACCGATGTGTCTTCGTCAAGAAGGCGGCGTGAATTTCCCCGCTTAGCCGAACAAATTTCATTCGGTAGCGATGTATTTTTTTTTTCTCCCATTGCTGCCCCAAGAGTTAGGACCGTCGGCGCATGAGTAGGGTCGAGCGAGGGAAGCTTGCTACCGCAGTTGCTTGTGCAGTACCTTGCTTGGGCTGGTGTGTTTGTGCTTGTAACCCAAGCAAACCAGGCAGGCAGATGATGTTTCTAGCAGGTGCGCAGGGTTTTGTAGGTGGTTTGGTCGTGGAAAGACAATTTTGAAGGTGGCGTTGCGGGGTGTAGGGTAGCGTCTCGTTGGTCGATAAGAGGGAGAGGCGAAACAAAAGAGGGTGAAGATTTGCTTCCATTTACTTCGCTTATACAACATGGGAATGCAGAACACATGAAAATTCGTTTTGTGTCGCTGTCACCTGTCTGCAACCGTGGGCGAAAGAGCAAGACTCGTGCAAATTTCGCAAGTCAAACGGGTGATCATGGATCGCTGCTTGCCTGAAACCCTTGCAAGCGATGAACAAAAAAAGGGCTTTGGGTCCGTGATGAGGGTCAGAAACTCCCCCAGTGTTGCTGTGAAGAACCGTCGTCCTTAAAGAGGCACGGGAGGGTCATCCCCGCGGTTGATGTCCTTGATCATAGCAGAGGTTCTACAAAAAATCTTCCTCTGGCGTGTTATTTTCGTTTAGGCTAGCGTCACCGAACCTCCGCCGCTGGATGGGCCGAAACACATCCCCCATGAGGCCTACAGCCCGGCAATCACGGCATATAACTTTTGAAACGCACTGTCAGACGTGACGGCCACTTCGCCCACCCCCCTCCAGTATCCTAACCTTGTCCTCTGAAGACACGCTCGCCACCACCACTGCCGTTGTCCAAAATCCAAATGCGCCATGCCGGCGGTGATTTCAGAAACATTCAGCGAGCACTGGCGGCTTAAGCTTGATCCTCCACCGCGGGAAAAATAATCCTAGATCGTTCGATAATTACGACACCCGCATCCAGGTTTCGAAGATTATTTCAACAAAATCCTTCCTCGTTGGCACCGCTCAGGTGCTGCTGTTGCCTGCTCTCTTCCGACTCTTCCGAGTCCGAAATAAATCCCGCCGAAAACCCTGCCTCTTTTTTTCATGAAAAGAATGCCCACTTCGTCACCTTTTGTTTCCTCCCGCTCGCTCCCCCTCGCTACCCGGCCAACGATGCCTCGCCCCTATGCACTCGCCTCTTCCTCTCCTTCCCGTTCTTCCATCCCCAGCTGCTGCTCGGCCAACTCCGCGGCCATGCCCACCGCGGTCTCGAACATGTTGGCAAACATTCCCGCGTTGCTCTCGTCGTTGTCCATGTCGCCCTCTGACAGCACAATCTTCGAGCCTTCCTCCTCACGATCACCTGCCTCATCAGCAGAAGCCTGGCGGACTCGCTTCTCCTCCCGACCTCCACCGTCGTTGGTGTTGCCGCCGCTGTCGTCCTTGCTGTCCTCACCGGCCACCACACCATCATCGCCCTGGTGCGGATTCGGAGGAAGCATTTCGTTCCTGCAAGAAAAAACACGCGCACGCGCGACAGCCGATTACAGCCCTTGTTGCAACGGGGGCGACCATTGTTTTTGCGATCGATAATTCTGGCAAGCGGGGGGAGCAAACGGCTGCAACCAGTGGTTTGAAATAGACGCCAATTTGCAGGCTCCAAAACCGCAGAGCATCGCTAGAGCGCCCCCGTGGATGCGTCAACCCGCCTGCAGTGCAGTTGATTGGTCTGCCCCTCCAGCTACGTAGGTGGGCACTTTCAAACTACCAGCCAGCCAGCAAGCCGCGCATCGGCTGACAGAAGGTGAGAAGGTGAGCATCGAACCCACGCCAAACAGTAGTCAACAGCATGAAACTAGAGCACCTCAAACACAGCAGCGTGGAGATGGCGCAATTGCCACGCCAGCGTCCCGGCACGCCCGTGTGAGTGTTCTTCTACGGCACTCACTGCAGCAAGAAGTCAGCCACCCACTCCGACGCCCCCTCCAGGCTCTCCCACAGGCCCCCCTCCCGTACCATGTACCAGAACGCCTCCATCACGGACCCCGCCGGAGGGCTTTCGATCTCATCTGCATGCTCCACCACCTGTTGCCATGGCAACCGGGGGGGGGG